AACACCATGGATGAAGAAATAGAGCAATTCTTAGGAATCTATGGAATTCTCCAACAAACCTACAAATTCATACAAAAATCGACAAGAATCTTCACTCACATCACTCTTGCCTTTATTCTTCCTCTCTCTCTCTTATCCAATTCCCTCCAATTCCTTAAACTCCTCGACCTCGTTTCCTCCAAAACAAGCCATCATGTTCTCATCAACTTCGTTTTCTCAATCTTCTCATCCATCTTATCTCTCCTCATCACCTATGCCATCGTCTACACAATCGCGGCCGGTATCTACATTGCACGTGACGTTTCCAATTTCAAGCACGTGTTGAGAGTCCTCCCAAAAGTTTGGAACCAGATTCTTGTCATGTTTTTGTGCAATTGTGCAGCTCTTATTGCCTTTGGATTTATTACTTATACCGTGCTGCGTTGGATGCCTGTGATAGAGATCTTAATCGACCATAAAATTGGTATCACTATTAATGGGAGCATTTTTTTCTTGTTTGTAATGTTTTATTTGATGGGCATTTGGTATTTGGTGATAGCGTTGCAGCTGTCGAGGATGGTTGTAAAGCCATCGGTGTGGCTGAATTTGCCTTTGGGGAAGGTTAAGTTTGAGCTTTATTGGTTTGTTGGTCGGCCAGCGTTGGTGAGGGTGGTGGGAAGGGGTGAGTCTTTCATTTTATGGGGTTTGTTGTGTTTGTTGGCCGAGTTTGTGGCGGAAATTGTGGTGTATTTTGTTTGCAAATGGTGTCACTGTGAGAGTGTTGATAAGCTGCCTCTATCGGACCATTTTTATGGTCATTTGTCGCCTAATTATGTTCGGTCGGATGTTAACAATGTTGTTCATCAATCATAAGCTTCCCAAATTGCAACTTGTTTTTAGTATCAATATGTTAAAAGATAATTAAATTAATAATATTTATGTTCCATATTTATTAATATTTTGTGTTTGTAATTAACCTTAACCTCTGTTAAACAATGAGAGTTGCTACGTTCAACACTCAAAACGCAATTGTTGAGACAACTACTCACTTTGATTTGCTTATGATTGCTCGGGATGAAAAACTTAATGGGGTGGAGGGGTATTTAGGGTCGATACTAAACGATTTATTTCTAAAATATCGAAATTCTATAATATTTTTTAAAATACAATAACAAAATTAGAAGTCTTTAACTCAAGAAAATAATGACTAAAAAATGTTGCCCAAAATTTGGTTAAAAAATAGATGTTATGCCACGTGTCACTTTTTGATAGGGTGAAAGACGAAAATATTAAAATTATGAAACAGCGAAGGTTGACTGCCACGTGTGGTCTCGTCATAAGCTGGAAAATATAATAACATAATATTAAAAAAGTAACTGCGTTGAATTTTCTTTATTTTGATTATTCCTCTAATTCAAACCCAGCGCCACATGTCACGTTCTAGATGGTCCAATATTTCAAAAAGCCCACGTCAGGTTTCGACATGTCCACGTCATCATCATTTGTGATTTTTCTCCTATTTTTAATCTTAGGGATGGGAATGATTCTTGTTGTTAATATTATCGACAAATAAATTAAATTTTATTAACATCAAAATATTAATTAATTAATATTAAAAAGTTCATCTACGTCCAAAAATTAAGTTTAATAGGTAGGGCATCGATAATGGACTATAAATCTGGTTCGGTTAGCTTTTTTGAAAAAATCGACCACAAAGTAAAGCAAATTTTATGGCGTTTGCAATATTTATAGTGAAGAAATCAATTTTCTTAGATTAATTGGACCAAACTAATTAATTTAGGTCGAATCGATTTAGTTCTTCAATGTTTTCGAACGTAACGAAGACTCCTAATATCAACAATAAAATCAAGACAAAACTTGAAGTTATCGTCTTTATCATTGATCGTTAATTATTAACAAATAAATAAAATAAATAATTCTCTTTTAAAATTAATTTTAAATTTTTTTGGAGGTAAATTTTTAAAAATATATATTGAAATTGTGTGGTAAATATTAAATATTTGACTAACTTTTAGTATTAAAAACAAAATTTTTGAATAAACTTTTAACTATTAAAAGATAATTTTCTAAAAATTTAATTAATTATTTTATTTGTTGGGCTTTCATTGGATAAGACTACAACGATTTTTCTACTCGCTACTATATGTATGACATGACAGGTAATTGAGGAAATATTTCAAAATGATGTTATTGACTTAAACATCTAAAGTAACGAGTGGCTTGAGTATTTTAAAGAAATACCCAGTAAATAATTCACTAGAGTTAGGAAACTCACACACATGCAACATGGAGAGACCTATTTTTTTAACATATGATACCATGACCTTATATAACTTTCTAGCCGGGACAAAGTTGGATTTATAGTACTTCTTATTCACACGGCCCATGCATGCGAGCATGGGCCCGTCTGGCCGTCTCACATATCCCCTAGGTCTGGCTCATCAGGCTAACACTTGTTAATGGGCTCTTGTCGAAAAGCACCGAGGGAAAGGGACAACATAACATTTTGGCAAACATAAATGTCGTAAATAATAAGTGGTAATGGAGGCGTCTATACTCATCATAATAGAGAAATATCTCGATGTACGTGACACACAAATATGCATGAGGTTCTCATGGGTTATTGTCGTGACATAAGTTATAATGCAAGATAAACCTTTATTCTTTTATAACATGATAAGCCTGTAAGTTTCACATACATAATTCTAATACATTCTTTCATAGCATAGCCTTCGTGGCATGGACTATGGAGGTTTATGCATCAAAAAATATCAATCTCATAACAATTTTATGCAACATGACAAGGTGACATCATAGCCTAGCTTTTAAATATGACATAACTTATACATCATGCATGCAGTAATGACTCTATTATAGTAGAAAAATAGAGTTGTTATAAGTTTAGTCCCAAGAGCTAACCCTGAGTGACTAGAAAAGCAAGAAGAGATCTCATCCGCCTAAATGCCTTAAGAACCTAGTAAACCTCCACAACACTTGAGGAATTATAAGAGAACTTATGAGACCTCTAAGGGCGAACAGTATTAATTTAAGGAGTTACTGTTTGCGTATAATAAAATCACCTTAAGAGGGGACGAAGGACTACATAAATACATAACAAGAGACTACAAACCCACACTGAGAGAACTGCTAGTGTCTATAGAATAACCCACCTTGAGAGAACAAGAGACTACAAAAGTAGGAATCGCTAATATGAGTAGAATATAACACACCTTGAGAGGGGATGAGGGATTACATAAGTAAATAACATGAGGAGCCCCTACCGAGTGTAGAATAAACCCACCTTGAGAAGAGACAAGAGACTATATTAGTAGGAACATGAGGAACTAATATTGTGTGTCTAATAAACGCACCTTGAGAGGGGATGAGAGACTATATAAGTAGATAACATTCGAGAGTTGTGTGGCCATAGAGGGGATGAGAGACTACATAAGTAGATAACATTCGAGAGTTGTGCAGCCATAGAGGGGGTTGCTTCGAAGTGTCATTTTGTCTTTGTATTGAGTTTTTTTTTAAAAAAATTCGTTTTGTGATTATACATAAAACTCATTTTTGTGTTCACCGTAATTAGATTTCGTTTAGTGTTTAATTTTGATGTTGTTGGTTTTAATTTGATCTAAATTTTACGATATTTTTATCCTTTATATTTGGTCTTTGTCGTGGACCATGTATCGAAACCTTAAAAATAGGGTCAAGACAGTAAGTACCGATCATGACAGTGAGTGTTACGACCAAGTAAACCTGTGTTAAACCTGAAGTGAATTTTGAATGAGAGTGAAAGAATCTCACTTAATGTTAGATAAAGTCATAAATAAGAACGAAAAAGTATACTGAATCTTAAATTCCTCTTCAAGTTGGCAATAATCAAATGCAACTCATAGCATAGCACAACACAATTAAACGAAGACGATTATAACACAACTGATAGATGAAGGTGAAAGCTTATAAAGTTGTTTGAAATTGCCTGAAACCATGAAACCCAGAAAATAGAGGTTCGTGGAAGCTCTGATGGCATCTTGACAATGCCTCTCGTTAATACTTAGATTTCCAAAGTTTGGACTTTTAGAATATAATTATTAAAAAAAAAGTGGGAAATAAGTTAATATAATATTGGAAGCATGTGATTTGCAATACAATTCGGGAGAGCCTTGCTGCCCAATGATTCTTGCAAAAAAAAAAAAAAAAAAAAAAAACAAAAACAATTGTAGTCAACATCAGGCCATCGTTGACGTCGACTTTATAATTTTCTAATAATAATAATAATAATAATAATAAAGATGCTTTTTTTTTTTCTTTTTTTATTTTATTGCCATTTCATTGATAATATTGAAATAATAGCCAACGAACGTGTTGACTCAGTCAGCAAGACTCGCTCTACAATCAAAAAGATAAGGATAGGGGCCGACCATTCATATTTTCTCAAACCTAAACCCTCTCTTACGGTTTAATTTAATCCTTACAAGTCTTTTACACAAATTGAAAGTAACCCCTCACGTCATCAATCTCATACCCTTGTAAAGATATGAGTATCAAAATCTACCTTGAACCTAGTTATGTCAATAGAATCAATAAAGAAAAGTTGTGAGTCAGTCTTGAAAGTATAGTTATACAATGAAGATTTGTGGTAGAGCTTTATTAGACTAGTAATGTGCTAAAAAAAAAAAAACTATATGGATAATGTTTAACGAATGGATGACTATTTAAGAGGGGTTCAAGATATTGTGTTCAAGGAGAGGATTCATTGGTATAGGGAGGAGGTTCTATAGCAAAGGTCCGAATTCCTAACCAGGTCAATTCAAAAAAATGTATGAATGCCGCTGTCAAATTCAACATAAACTAATCTATGAACACTACCAACATAGACATATCCTTGCAAGTAGCAAGAAAGTTCGTCAGCATTCTCAAGCATTTAAAATTGATTGTTCTATAAACAAGAAAGGATAAAATAATATTTGGAATAACCAATGCGGAGGCACCCAAAAGTCATCTATATACTTTTCAAACTCAATTCTCAAGAACATTCAAACACCCATTTTCCTTATATATCCTTTCCTCCTCCAAAAATCCTCCATTCTTCTGCAAATTATCCCATCTACTTCTTCGCAGAATCATGGATGTAGAACAAGAAGAGATGCAATTCCTCGGAACCTATGGAATTTTTAGAGAAACCAGCAAATTAATCTTCACATGGCGAAGGATTTTCTCCCAAATCACTCTAGCCCTAATTCTCCCTCTCTCCTTCTTGTTCCTCGCTCATATGGAGCTCTCCAATCTATTCCTAAGAAAAATCATGCACGACGAATTCATACTGGACCAAACGCGGCCCCGTACAGAGTCATTCGGAAAACTCTCTGGCGTCGTTTCATCGGAGAAGGTCTATTATTTTCTATTTCAAGTCGCGTACCTGGTTATCTTCGTCGTCCTGTCGCTCCTCTCCACCGCCGCTGTCGTCTACACCGTCGCGTCAATCTACACCGGCCGCGACGTCACCTTCAAGCCGGTGATGAGCGTCGTCCCCAAGGTCTGGAAGCGGCTCGTCCTGACATTTCTCTGCGTGTTCATCTCCTACGTCGGCTACTCCATCGCCAGCTTGTTCGTCATCATCTCCCTCCTATTCCTCATCATCTTCATCGGCCACATCACCGGCTCCGGCGTTATACTCCTGGTCTACGCCTTCCAGATCCTATACCTCGCCGGTGCCTTCTACCTGATGACGATCTGGCAGCTCTCGAACGTCGTCTCTGTTCTAGAAGATTCCTACGGATTCAAAGCCATGGCCAAGAGCCACGCCTTGGTGAAAGGGAAATTAGGGCTTTCCGTCGTCATAATCCTTCTTCTAAGCCTCCCTCTCGGAACGGTGCGTTTTATGTTTGGGCATTTGGTGGTTCATGCGGCAGCGTTGGGAGTTCTCTCCAAGGGCGTTTTGGGGATTTTGTGCTTCTCGTTGTTTTTCGTGTTCTATTTGCTGAAGCTGGTGACGGAGACGGTGTTGTATTTAGTCTGCAAATCATACCATCATGAAAATATTGACAAATCTGCCCTCTCAGACCATCTCGGGGAGTATTTGTTAGGAGAGTATGTGCCGTTGAAACCCAAGGATGTTCAACTTGAAAAAATTCAAGCTTGAATATGCAAATATAATCACTATGATTTTAATGAATCAATATTGAGTTCTCATAGTTTATATAATCTTGGGGATCTGACTTTTTTTATCGATAATACCACAAGTTTGATTTGGTTTGGTATCTTTGTAGAATCATAGTTCGAGGACAGTTAAGTTTGAGCTTGATTTGATTTGATTTGATTTTAACGATCCATTCACAAGGACCATAGACCATTCACAACCCAACTCCCTACTTGGAATGGACAGGCCAAGGTAGTGGCTCCAAGAACCCTAGCCAATGAGTTCACCCAACCCTCCAACCACTTTAATGCCCCATTTGGGTTACAAACTCCTATTACAAAGTTCGGCCGTGTGTTGCGTCACCAACTAAAATATAAAGATTACATGCAATTACAAATTTAGCAACTTGGGATTCAACAATATCAATTTGTAAAATTTTATATGTAATTACAAGATATTTCTTGATTTAATTTGTATTTTTAAATGTTAAAGGAGGTGAATTTGCAACCACAAACGAGGAGATTAGAAAAATAAATGGAAATAGAATGGATGAGAGTTTATGCTCAAACGGAATAATATCATACAATTTTGGAGAGTCATAGTTCCCAACCGAATGTAGAATGTAGTAAGTTTCAACTTTTGCTCCATAGAAAATTGGAAATTGACCTGTGTCTTAAAGAATGCCTAGAGCATACTTCCTTTGAGACATAAAAATTATCGAGAAAATTCAATGCCTAGGAACTATTTCAAATTCCCTAAATTTTCTGCATTTTGTATACTGGTAGAGAATATGAAGAACCAATTGCGAGAAGCTTGTTTTAACTCATAAAGAGATTTTATATAATCGACATACTGCATTCTCCCCCTGTCAGCAGACCTCGTGGTAAAGACATGTAGACTTCCTCGTCTAGATTGCCATGGAGAAAGGCATTTTGACCATCCAACTAAAGTGAACCATTTTCGAGCAACAACAACAGTGAGTAAGCAACCAAGTGTAGTAAGTTTCGCTGTAGGAGAAAATGTCTCTTTATAATCAATACCTTCAACCTGAGTGTATCCCTTTGCTACCAACCGAATTTTATAAGGTTCAACAAGCCCATCATAGTTGTATTTAATCTTGTACACCCAACAACAATCAATAGCTTTATGGCCAGGTGGTAGAGGTACGAGAGACCAAGTATGATTATGTTACAAAACTGCAATTTCAGCATTCATAGCTTGCTGCCATAATGGGTTGCCACTGCCTCATCATAGGTTTTAGGTTATGTTTGGGTTGTAATAAGATCTAGAAGAGCACGTTAAGTTTAAAAAAAACGAGAGAATGAAAGGTAATGATGAAGGGGATACCTGGTGCATATGCTGGGACTTGAGTTAGAGGTTAAATGATTGACTGCAGAAGAAATTTCATAATCATTATGTCAAGTTGAAGGATGTTTGGTATGAGTAGAACATCAAGTGGAATGGGATTAGAATTAATGAGTGAATCTGGAGAAGGAATAGAAGATGGAGGAGATGAAGGAATAGAAGGTGGGACAGGATTAGAATAGATGTTTGAGTAGGATGAACCATGAAGTGGTAAAATGAGAGTCAAAGGAGCTAACGTCAATGTTTGTGAAGCTGATGAAAAAGGAAAATCATCTTCACAAAATTTAACATCGTCGCTGATAAAGAATTTGTGAGATTACATGTCATACAACTTGTAACTTTTGTGACCACAAGGATATCCTATGAAAACACAAGAAATTGCCCAAAGTTCAATTTTTTGGTTTGGATGTACTACGGTTGCATAACTTTTACAATAAAAAACTTTAAAATGATGAAATGTAGGTGGTTGTTTGTAGAGTACTTCAAAGGTTGTCTTGTTAGATGACAACGATAATGGTGTTCTAAGCAGTTAAAATGCACTCTCCCCAAAAATTAAGTGGAACCTGTGATAGAGACCTAACTACATTTAGTATGATGATGTTTACATTGTACAACTCCATTTTGTTGCGGAGTATAGGCATAAGTAAGTTGAAATTCAATGTCAGAAGAAATAAAAAATGGTTGCGAAGATAGAAACTCAGTCACATTGTCTAATCGTACTATCTTGATAGTAGTATGAAACTGATGTACTCCTTATTTATGTTGCATAAGAAAGACCTAAGTACATCGAGTCAAATCATCAACAATAATGAAAAAAAAAAAAACACAAACCATAATGCGTAGGATTTTATGAAGTCCCCAAACATCACAATTTAACATATCAAAGAAAGAATGTGTTGTTATTGAGCTTATTAGAAAAGACAGCCTAGTTTATTTTGTTAATGGGCAAATACTACTGTTATGAGAAAAAATAGCATTATTAAAATGAAGGATGACCTAGGTGGTTAAGAAATATGATAGAGACTTAGATATTATTCATATATTTTTTGGCTTAGGAGAATCGACCCACTATCCTTCTTTCCACTGACAGGAGAGAAAGGTAACGATGCTCCGTGAAACTAGCCTCACGCGGTTTCCTTCGACTCTAAGGACCATAGAACCACTGGGTCTTCGCCCAAGGCCCACACAACCTAACTCCTTACTTGGAATGGACGGACGGGCCAAGGTAGTCACTCCAAAGAACCCTAGTCAATGGGTTGACCCAACCCTCCAACCACTTTAACCGCCCCCATTTGGGTTACAAGCTCCCATTACAAAGCTCGACGATGCATAATGTCGCCAACTAAAATATAAAGATTACACGCAATTACAAATTTAGCAAGGTGGGATTCAACAACCAATTAGTCTAACATCTTCAAATAATTAAAAGAGAGTGGATGAGGATGATTCATTAGAGCATTTATTTTCTTATGAATTAGGACAATGTAAAATGAGTCGTCCCTTCGCCAATCATACGCAACTTGGGTGAAATCCAAGCTTGTTTAATGACATATGTTGCCCGTGCATGCATGTTCAATCATTTGTGACTCTAGTTAGCTTATCTCTACACTAGGTCTAGTCATTCGACTCGACCTTACCTCTACTCTAGGCTAAGGTTTCTCATGTGCAATGTCGTATCTCATCATCATTTCGGTTCCCAACAATACAATCCATGCATCTAATGTCATCTCATATCTCTAGACTGCTCAACTATCTTAGCTTGCTCAGACACATCTGTCAGAACCTGATTTATATATCATCAGGACATCCCAAACATCCATTCATCTGGGTTTTATCTAGGCATGAACTCTTCCACGTCCATGCAGTGTTATTTACGAACTGTGTATTGGATAGCAAATGCATATACAAACATTCGACACATGGGATGAGGCGCAATGATGGCATGTGCCATCAGACACTATCATCTCATTGAAAAACCTATTTCAATGGAAAAAACCCGAGACACTTGCCCACGCTATGACACATGTAGCTCACTTAGGCAACAGGGCCTAGGGGTAGTGAAGAGTTGATATCATGCCTTCTCATATAGTACATTTTGAGACATTTCCAATCATTCTAGAATAAGCATCATGTGGTAAGCAGTCATAAGGCCCCGTAGAGTGTTTGTCGGATATATGATTGACACCAAGTTTGGAGAGCTTTCCTCTTTCATATAGATGGACATAACCCTAGAACTGCATGCCGAAACTCACATCGAAACCCCAACTTCTAAGGTTATGGCCTAGAGCCCTTCCCCGACCCTCTCCAAGCTTGTCTTCGACACTCATGTTGCCTCATTCTCTCTAATCTTGCTTATGCCTTAGCTTGGCTTTAATGCACACTCATGGTGTGTTGGATGATGCACTATTCTCCTCAGTCGTATCATGACAATTGCTTTGTCTCAACCCTCACGTGGGCAAATGGGTGCCACTTGAGAGTCGCCACCTTGTCTGTATGCATATAGGGGCCACACTCTACTATCTTCCTAGTGAAGTTGTGACACTCTCCCTCACTTAAACTAATCATCGTCCTCAATAACTTATTAGGGAGCAAAATCACATCATGAATTGTGGCACTCTCCACAACTTGCAGATTGTGACACCCTACAAGTGGGTGGCATATAAAACCAATTACGAAAAAAACAAAACTTGAACCTAAGCCATGATTCATTCAAACCAAGGTTGAAAATGGACAAGTCTGAGGTAAGATCGGCTTACCTACGACCAAATCTTAGTGTTGGATTCAATAGGCGAGGCACGATGATCATCGTCACTGGAATCCCCTGTTACCGAGACAATGATGATGAGCAAACTACGTGAAGGAGACGAGCTGCGGCATGAACTGTCTGTATGTTGAAGTCGACCCTCAATGTAGGATGTGAAGATGGAGTCTACAGTGTGAAAATAATAATTATATTTAAAAAAAAAAAATTAAAAATACAAAGTTGGTAAAACAAAAATATGGGAATGAAGATTTGTAATTCCATTATTTTTTATTTGTTATTATTATTTTTAATTACCCTTTTAATAAGTTGACTAAACCCACACAAATAATATAAAATTACACAGTGAAGGAAAATACACTTTAAAATGCTTGTCTTCATTCTCAACAAAGGTGGCTTAAATTAATTAATTGACCAATAGTATTTTTATTACAAATTTAATGACTTTGACTTTGACTTTGACTACTTATGTTCAACTCACCAAATCCAACCTGCTTTGGTCAACTTGTAAAATTCAAATTACTTTACTTTCACAATGTTTTGACCCTTTAACATTATATAAATGATATCAACATTTTTTCTTTAATTTTTCTTTTCACACCCACAAATTAATTTTTTTTTTTTAATTTTTCTTTTCACACCCACAACATTTTATAAATGGGTATTCGGTAAAAGTTGAGCTAGTAGAGAAGACTCGTCCGACAAAAAAAGGGTCCAGCAGTGTGCAAACTGACTAGTGAGCCCATACTATGAGCTGTGTGTAGAGTATATGGTACACATCCAAGCTACCAATTAAAATAGTGTCGTAAAAAAAAAAAAAAATTAATAGGTCTTGTCGTAGCATATGGCATGTTCTTACATTTAACTTTCAATAGTGATGTCACTTATGGAGTATTTCTTACAATACTCAAGCACGTGCTACCTTTATTTCAGATTAAGGCAATGAATTCCTGTACGGCTGATGACGACATCGCAATTTAAGACCATGACA